CACAGTCTCACATTGACGTAATGATGTGTTATGTCCACCGCCTGTCTCATCGGACCGTTTTCCCTCGAAACATCGAAAGGCACCACGGTCACCGTCAACAAGGAACGCTACGCTCGGGTGCTGAGAAGGCTCGGGCGTTAGATAGTGACAGCTCTGGAGGGTGTAACTGAGTACACTGTTTCCAAAAAAGACGGGGCTCCATCTAGCACATAAAGAGCGAGCCTCTCCTGGCCGGAGGAACACTTTAGAGGGCACGTGACCAGTCAAAAAAGCCGAAATTTCATGGCCAGCCCTCTTCTCAGGCCCGACGCCCCTGGTTTTTATCTGTGGGGTTTAACCCTCGCCCGCACATGCCATTTTCCCATCCTAGAACGCACATGGGGGGAAGGGGTGGTTGCCACCCCCCCCCGCGCCATTTCGTTCCTGTTGGAGATAGAGCTTAGCAGTAAAGACCAAAAAGATTCTTTGGGAAGAGACGAATCCAATGATACCCAGTTTTACCTTCTCAGGTCAGTCATTGACCTTCCAGGTCAGGTCAAACTAAAAAATGTTGCTGTTTTGGGTCACCGTTGGATATCAAGTGTGCTGCTTATCAAATACCGATGACGATGCTGTTTTCTGGTGCCAAGCCAGCTAGAACCTCTTTGTCACACTACCCGACCAGAATGTTGCTGCTGAGGTCATTTCAGGTCAAGTTAGGTCAAGGTCAATTATATGTGTTTGTATGTCTGTGTGTGTCTGTGTGTATACTGATGTGTGCACCGATTGTTTTTGGGTCCATATTACATGAAATCATGATCTGAGAAGCTTTTACCAAAAATGCAGTCAAAAAACTTCAAAAAAAGTAAATTCAGCTTGCCTAAAAAGCAATTATCTTAGATGACCTAGGTTGACCTTGACCCTGACCTTGACCCCTGTACATCGTCGAACAACATGTTCCATGATAGGTGGGAGGTAAGACTGGCAAAAAAGGCCGAAATCAGGGTGTCAAAAGCTCATAAGGCCCATGGCAAACGCAAGATGTTGAGAATTGGCCATTTGGGTCATGACATGACCTGAAAAACAAGGTCATATCTCCGAAACCAAAAATCACAGAAACTTGAAATTTTCAGTGGACATCAAAAAAGGATAGAGGAGCAGCTATACGAAAAATCAGCCTTCTAGCTCTAAAAATGTGGAGTGCAGAGCAGAAAGACTACCTGGGGGGGTGGCAACCACCCCCCCCCCCCATGTGCGGGCGAGGGTTAATGAAATCACAGGTGCCAGCCATGAGCCCAGAGAGTCTCCCGAACGTGATGAAGACGATTTGGAAGGTCGCACGTAGAATCCACCCGATTTGTGCGCTGAATTCATCTCGCGAGGTTGCGCGGTACACATATCTCTAAATTCTGCGAAAAAGGGGTTACTCAGAACACGTGCTATGGGGGACGCCCAGGAGCGAGAAAGAGTGTGAATGACACCAGGTATAAAACTTCCAGAAAAGGTGATTCAAATGCACTAATTCATTTTGAGCTATTACTACTCGCTTTGATGTCACGGGCTGTTAAAATCAAAACATATTTTTCTTTCCACCCTGTAATTCTTACAACGCTGACGCTTAAATTGAAGATTTTGGGACTTTAGATGACGTCATACAAGACGTGAATAAGGTTGTTTGGTGCAGTAGGAGCTTTCCTCTGGCTCTGATAACTCCCGATCAAATCGAATTAGCGAGTCGGTTGGGCCATCAATTGACTCAGAAAGAATTGCAACATCAAATGATATGCAGCGTGACAGCGTGACAAGTAGCTTTATGATCCAAAAGTATTTGTCCTGACCTTGACCTGAGGTCAACATCCTAAAGTGACCCTACCCAAACTAAACGTATCTCATTCAACACGCCTGGTCAAGACGAGCATGGTGGTGCCACTATCGCTGCTCTGCCACCATTTGTGGCGAGGTTATTTACCAAAAACCAAACCCCTACGTTGGGACACTTGACCTGACCTCAGGGGTCACCAGTTGGCCTAATACATTAACCCTCGCCCTGGTTGGGGGACCCCCTCCCGAGTTTTTTTGCGATGTGCGCCGAACTGTTAGTCTGATCGTGGATAAGTGTTCCATATCCTCTGCAAGGCATCCTTTGCGCAACTTTTGGTAAAAAAACAATTGTGGGTCATGTCAGGTCACCGAGCCATAGCTATGACGTCATAATAGGTAGAACCTCTGACCGCTTTTGACAAAATCGAACATACAGTAACGGGACGTGATCTCTTCAACAAGAACGAATATATTCCGTGTGATTTATGTCAGAATTTGAATGGACAAGCATCCTATATTATACATTGACCTTTCTAAGGTCAACCAAGGTCAATTACCTCGCATGTTTACATGCTGACCTCCGTGATATGAGCTGTGTTTAGTGGGGTTTCTTGGGGTCTTGAGTCCGAATCTGTGGTTCAATTTTCACCTAAATGCCTTCAAAACTTCCTTGACCTTTACAAGGTCAACCCAGGTCAATTACCTAGATTGAACTTTGAAGAAGTTGAACAGAATGTTCTAGGATATCCGAGATATTGAAAACCTGGAATGTTCTGCACGCCTGATAGTGAGGATATCAGCATCTTGTGACTAACTGACTGAGGATCGCGATCGTAAAAAATACACGCTTCTATCTTTCACAGACACATACACCAATATTGGTTCGGCATTAGTTACAACCTCTCGATTTTCACCGGGCCGGCGGATGTGATCTGTCGGATTCCCGGGGATACGTAGCGTCAGTCATAGGGCAAATCCAGTCAACAATATGTCATTTTGCAGCTAATTGACTGAGGAATACGCTCCTTTTGCAAGTCTCTATCTTAGATGCGCCAAAGTTGACTTTGTTAGTTGGAAAGCTCTCGATATTCGTCGTCCTCGCCGGCGATGGGTGTGACCTCCCATGTTCCGGGGGACTACGTCACGCCAGTAGTGTCTGCAATGCTGTCAACTATACATCATTTTGTCGCTAATTCGCTGCGAAACACGGTCTTAAAAGTTTTATGTCGCTATCTTTCATAGGTTTTCCCAATATTGGCAAGCAATTTGGAAAATAGCCTTTCCCTGAAATTTGACATTTCACCCGCCATATTATGACCCATAACTGGGTCAGATATTGACCTAGGTTAACCCGCGCCCTGATGGGGTCTGCCGAGCAACGCGGTCTGATGGGGGTCATTTTGCCACCCCCCCCCCCTAAGATCTCGAGAACCACGCAACATAGCGACAAGCGGTAAACGGCGTTGGATAGCACCAACGGGGAACTACCTTGTGACCCAATTTCATTGACCTCGGTCAAACCGGTGACGTCACAGGTCAGGTCCAAGGTCGAATGTTCACCGTTTACAGGCATTTCAAGAAATGCGTTGTAAAATCGAGTAAAATGCATTTCATTGAAAATCATTGATGGGGAACTATTCTTCAAACACATATTTTGCTAGTTGAGGTCACTGATACCAGGTCAGGTCACAGAGGTCAGGTCACTGGGGGGGGGGGGGGGTCACAATATGAAAGTGTCGTGTGATACATGTTTTATGGTCCATTTTACATGACAAATGCGATTATGTGGGTCAGGCAGACTTTTGGGCCAGCTTAAGTAACGTTTTGGTCAAGGTCAGGTCAAGGTCAGGTCAAGGTCAGGTCAAATTAGGTCAAATTTCAAAGTTGATATTTTTGCATAAAATGGATATTGATTCGATGCAGCTCGTCACGAGGAGTTCAATTATGGTCTCTGTTTTGCGCTACGAGGTCTAGAATTGCTAAAAATTGAGTTAAAAAATTGACGTCATCAATTTTTAACAGATTTTTTTGCTATAACTTGGCCAAAAAAGAGGTATCGATCTAAAATTTGGTATGTATATGGAAGAGCGCAGGGACTATCGCATATATTCCGTTTTTTTCAAAATTCGAAAAAAATGGATTTTTTTAGTTTTTCTTAAAAAAAAACATTTTTTTTTTTCAAATTTCATTTTTTTATTTTTTGGGGGTCAATATCCCAAAATCTCGAAAATCCGAGATAACAGTTTTGTAGCGCCGTCTTTTCTCTACACAACCACATAAAGAACTTTAAAATTGCTTGTTAACTGTAGAATTGGTGAGCGTTTCAAGATGTCATGTTTTTTGCTGATTTTTAATCGAACATGACTTCAGTTTGACCTCAATAACTCCTGACCTGAGGTGACCTGTGACTTGAAATTTTGTGTGAAGGTGTCAAATTGATGCCCGGTAAAGTACCAAAAATTTGGCGGCGCTGCGCGCCGCTGTTTTCTCGCTATTCAAGAAAAACCACAGGGGGGCCAAAATGCCCCCCCCCATCAGGGCGCGGAAAAAATATCACCAATCGCGAGTACTCGTTGAGAACAATCGACTGGTCTTTGTTGCGAAGCGCCACAACATTTAGTTTCGAAACGCCAGGGGGGTTGCATCGACCCCCATCCCTGCCAGGATGCGTTATGAAAGGCGCAAGGCGAGGCTGCCAGGCTCGCCCTGCCAGGGCGAGGTTTAAAATTGGATACCAGTATCTGTGTCTCGTAACGACGCACACTCTTCCTTTTTAAAGTTTCTATCTCAATTAGGAGCGAAACGGCTAAGGAGAGGGTCTTATCTACCCCCTCTTTACCGTGTTTGCGAACAGTTCATGAAAGTTCGAGAACTGATCGCTGTTTCTTTACCAGAATTTGGCCGACGACGTCACTTGTTCCCGAAAAGAATTGTTCTCGAACAGTTTGATAATGTTAGTTTATTTAGAAAATCAAACGACAGAGCGACCAATGATGAGGACGCTCAAATATCCTATTACTTATTCTTTGAGCTGACGGTGGCTTTTTCCAGTCGGAACAGACATTTTGTCATTGTTTATATGCTTAATATATTTTTTAATGTAACCGAGATTAAAGCAAATCTATCAAGTCATCTTCGCGAAGAGAACATCGGAAACTGGCGGCTTTCTGACTCCAATAACTCTATAACACAAAAGGTTGCAATTGCCCGTGTATTACGAACGGTCGATGCACAAAGAAAACACAGACATACAAACAGACATCAGCTCAGGTAACAATCTGTCATGGTCTATCCCAGACTCATCCCTAGTACGGCTGGTATTGGGGCTGGACGGGCTTGGGGGCCGGGACCGGCTGGTAATCGCCCTGGGGCACCACCGGCACCTGCGGGATCGGGTACTCGGTGGGCACCGGGACGGGAAGGTGGGCGCCCTGCGGCTGATAACCGTTCACGCCGGCCGTGTAGGTGACGGTGTAGGTGTTGCCGTAGTCGTCGGTGTAGCTGTACTGTCCCTCGCGAGCGTAGCTAGGCTGGCCGCCGTAGTCGGCCACGGGCCTGCCAGAGTCCGAGGCAGAAATGCCATTCTCCGTCTGGTAGCTGTAATGAAAAAAGTTCGCCGCGTTAGAAAAAAAATAGAGAGTGGCGGAACTCAACGCAATCAATTATCTAAAAAAGAAACGCAAAGGAAGGGAAGCGACTTAAAACCACAAAATTCATGAAAAAGCACCAGAGCTATACGACTATGATGGTCTTCATAAGATTTCCCCAATCGCTTACCTCGAGTCGTAGGAGCCGTCGGGGCGTAGGTCGAACTGCTGAGAGAGGATCTGGGGGACCTGCTGTCCGTATTTCTGGGTAGTGGGAGTGTATGGAGCAGGGCTCGGGGGAGAGTAGCTGGGCTGGTACTGGGGAGCAGAGGCGGCGACCGTGGCCAAAACTGCAGCGAACACAATCTGCAAAACACAACGATCGAAGCTTGGTTATAAGGATTGACTATGGTAATGTGATTATTGTTTAGCAACACAAATCGAGATGATAACGAAACGTTTGACGTGTATAGTGGTTGAAAATTGGACGGAAAAGAAGTATACAAAAGCATCAACTCCACATCACAAAGCTTTCCATATTCGCGTCACTCACCAGCTTCATGTTTGATGATTTGAGGATGTGTGTCCTGTGAGCTGCAGTTGACGAATGGTGACATCGGCATTAGTCCACCTGGCTTATATACGGGCACGACTATCTGGTCGGCTTTAAGCCCCGCCGTCCGATCTGAATAGCTAGTCGGCACCGGGCTAGCCCTATCCGCTTGGAATAACCAGAAACGCCTAGGCTGGAGCATGTCTTCGTGAGAAGATCTGTGTGTTACGGTCCATGGAAGGAGAGCAGATTGTTTCCCCTGATGTCACATGTAAAAACTGCTATCACACCTATTACACACCATCTGGTATGCTAGTCGGGCGTGCAGGTATGAACCTTTGTCTTCATTTCCCATGATTCAGCTGGATGCTTCCTATATCATATCTTTGTCCTCTCAAGTCGCAGACCATCGTGTTTTCAATGTCTTTCGATTCCATTTCGAATGTCTCTTTCAAAATGTCTCTAGCTAGAGATTATGGATGCACCTGAAATGCTCCATCGTTCTTTATGTTCCGATGGGTGGATCTTATATTGGTCCTGGGTGGGGTAAGGGTTGTCCTTAACTGTGCACATTTGAAGCTGCACACTGCTCTCAACTTCCCGCTTCCACTGTGATTGCGCCTTTTAGCATGAAATGCCCACTTCTCACCAATTTTTGACAAAGGTAGGTTGGCTCGTAGTGTGCCTGAACGGTAGCATCATTTCACATATCGTTTATATTTTCATTTTACCTGTTACATAATTTACAAATTCCTGAGTGCCTTCCCGTTATATGCCTTTTTTATCTAATAGCTATAGATATGTTATCATAACTTGTAAGACATCCATTAAGCAGTGTACCTAAGCATTAATGTGATTTTAATAGATAGTAGGTTATATAATTTGCAAATGTGTTGCATGCCAATTTCAGTTTTTGACGAGAGAAGTCCTATTGCTGGTGACGTCACATCTTTGGTGGTTTGGGGTGGCGTTTTCGGTATGAATCCCCAGTCTGTATCTGTGTGGGTAAACAACGGTGATATAGCTTCGCAAAGCTATGTTGACATCGCTTTACCACATCAATTCAACGTTCCAGCGCTTGATGGCAATTTTTACCCCAGTTCACCTGAGGCATGGGGTCGGCAACCTGCGGCCCGCGGGCTGGATCCGGCCCGCGACCATTTTGAGTCCTGACGTCCGGCCCGCGACTGATATCAACAACTTACGTTGTGTTCCGGCCCACGGCTGGTATCAGCAACTAACGTTCTGTACCGGCCTGCGGTTCTGCATGGTAATATGAAGGTCATTTCATATTACCATATTACCAGTCATTTCAAGGCTGGGTTAAGTTGATTGACCTTTGGTGATCTCAGGTTACCTTTAGGAGTTTGCGTCATTTGCAGTAGTTTTTAGATGATTTCTTATCTGGCGCTTATCTGGCTTTCTATGAAGTAGTTTAGGTGCCGCCATGCAGAATGTTACGGAGCTGTTAGTGGCGGTTTACACCTACTATGGTTAACCTGCTAGATGACCTGGCCTGACTGATAATTATGGCTATACGTTGTCGCTGATGAAAAGATGCAAGGTGTTTGTTTCTGGTTCCTAGCACTGACACCCTTTTGTCATGCTCTATACTGAGATGAACCAGTGACACATGACTTACCTGTGGGATACAAATATTATCACGTTGTTCTCTTCTCCTTTCCCTCACGTTGCACCAGATAAGATTGGTCGCACCTTGGATACGATATAACCTTGAGGTTTAATATGATAAGAAGAGCTCAAATTGTGAAGAAAGGCAGACATTTTTATCAAACCATGTAATGAGAGGTGGATTAGATGCATAGACATGTTAAATCGTCCCGTCGAGGGCGTCTGTAGCGGGACCACAATATAAACCCGGCTGACGGCTGAGACAGGCATCATTCCATCACCGGAGCTGGCAAGACTGACAGCAGCAGCAACAGCAGCCAACATGAAGATGGTGAGTGTGACGAGTGGCTTACTGCACTGTCCTTTGTGCCCTAAATTGATAAAAAAAAAGCTTTCTTTGATATGTGTGGTATGTGCACTGTGCAAGAGACATGCTATTTCGGGCTTCGTCTGGAATCTAGCAGTTGTCTGTTCTAGCATGGCCTTCTAGCTGTTGCTATGCGCTAAATAAGTTGTATTTTTTTCAGTTTGTGATTGCCGCTCTTCTGGCCGTTGCTGTCGCCGACAAGCTGCCGGCTCCCTCATACTCTCCCCCGACTTCTCCTCCCTACTCTCCCTCGACCCCGCCTCCCTACTCTCCCACCACCCAGCCTCCCTATTACTCCACTACCCAGAAATACGGACAGAAGGTCCCTCAGATCCTCTCTCAGCAGTTCGACCTCCGCCCCGACGGCTCCTATGACTCGAGGTAAGCAGAAATTGTTATATGTAACTTGAGTTTTGAATTCGTCTATGTCTACAAAGGAATGTAATTAATTTGGCAAATATAATCACTGAAACTTTATTTTACTTCTGATAATAGGTATGGTAGAGACCTATGCTATCATGCTCATATAAAATAGAGATGCCTACACAAAATGACTTTTTGGTTGTTGTTGATGTTTATTGTTTAAATCTCCCCTTTTGTAGTGTTTTGTCGCCAGTGCGCTATTTTCGGTTATAATGTTGTAGGAGTGGTCATAGTCCTACCTGGATAAATTGTCCAACAGCTTGACCTGGCCATCTCGAAATACAGGCATCCGGTGGGGAGACTCGTGGCATGTGCGGCCCGGGCGATAATGAACCGAATGAATCCGAGCCGAACCGAACGACGACGCGGACACTACATATCTGGCGACGAGGATGAGATTTATGAAAACGACTATTTTGTGTTACAGCTACCAGACGGACAACGGCATTTCTGCCTCGGACTCTGGCAGGCCCGTGGCCGATTACGGCGGCCAGCCCAGCTACGCCCGTGAGGGACAGTACAGCTACACCGACGACTACGGCAACACCTACACCGTCACCTACACGGCCGGCGTGAACGGTTACCAGCCGCAGGGCGCCCACCTGCCCGTCCCGGTGCCCACCGAGTACCCGATCCCGCAGGTGCCGGTGGTGCCCCAGGGTGATTACCAGCCGGCCCCGCCCCCCAAGCCCGTTCAGCCCCAGTACGAGCCGTACCAGCCGTACTAGTGATATTTGACAGCGCTCACGGGAATAGATGACCATTGACCAACTTGTAGCAAACTTCTCTGTCATTCTTTGATTTCAACCGTCCGATTGTTTGTGTGTGTGTGTCAATCAGACGTGCGAAATATACGAGCTTTCATCGATCAGCTTTTATTTTTTGAGAGGAAGTACAGCTCGAGCCAGAGACCCTTCAGTTTTCAAATGTTTGACGGCAGTTTGGAGCGGAGTGACAAATGGGGTGGCCATGTAATGTGCAAAAGTGCCTGTCCGAGAGTGGTGGATTCACGGTAGTGACAGCCCGGGCTCGAGTCGCTCAGGCGCTCGATATTTGGGACTACTGACGGGGATGGTCTGCAGTTGGTGGGAGTAGCCGCAGCCAGTTGAAGTTAGTTGGGCGGGACAGGCCGTGTCCGGTTTTGATGGGCATGTCGCGGGCCCCACTGAGGTCTCCGTGTAACGCGCCTGGGGGAGGGGGTCTAACTCCAAAATTACTTGGCTAATTGTTAAAATTCAAACGGCGTCTGATAGCCCTGAACAACTGTTGAATGAAACCTAATTTCATTGACCTCGAGGTCACCGATGACGCCACAGGTCAGGTCAAAGTAAAAATTATCAATGTCCGACTTGTTCACATTTTGGGCTCTGGCCGCCGGCTTACATGTCAGGATCAGGCTCATTTTTTGTTAACACATTTGTGAATAGATGCTTTAGATACCCTGAAGATACTCAGCTTGTACGTTGGTTTTCAGGTCAAGGCCAGGTCATCATAGGTCATAGAAATATCTTATATCATGAAAGAGAGAGAGAGAGAGAGAGAGAGAGAGAGAGAGAGAGAGAGAGAGAGAGAGAGAGAGAGAGAGAGAGAGAGAGAGAGAGAGAGAAAGAGAGAGAGAGAGAGAGAGAGAGAGAGAGAGAGAGAGAGAGAGAGAGAGAGAGAGAGAGAGAGAGAGAAAAAAAAAGAAGAGAGTATATGAATTGAGGAGAATGGAGAAGGTAGGGGAGAGTGGGGGACATTCGTGCATTAGGCACATTCTTTTTTAGCAGTTTATGGGAAGACGAGTGACTGCACGAGCTAAAGGTAAGGTATGAAAATATGTAGTTGTTGTCGTTTGTTTGCTCGATTTTATTGAATATTTTCGCATGTTAAGACATCATACACTACAGTCTGGGATCAGTGCAAAAGCTTTTTAGCTTATTTCATGGCACCTCTCCCTCACACACACTAGCTCATTCACACGTCATTCACGTCAAGAAAAAACATCTACCATTAGCCCCGTTTACATAGGGCTCGTTGCCAGGTATTGGCATTCCGATACCGAGACATTTATTTCACTAACGAGACATTTCAGGCACATTCCGCTAGTTCTGACGAACTATAAGGCCGGATAGGTCGTCATAACTAGCGGAATGTGCCTGAAATGTCTCGTTAGTGGGATAAATGTATCGGTATCGGAATTCCACTATCTGGCAACTAGCCCTATGTAAACGGATCTATTGCCGCCCTTCGTTCACTGTAGAAGACAACACTGTACCTGCTGTCATGCTTGATAAAAACGCAAATTTGGAATATTCGTGCGCTTTCAAACTTTTCTCATATCATCCATTTTCGTGATCCTGACTCTGAAATGTGGTTTAACTTTTCAAAATTGGGGGCGAAGAAGCTCACTTTATTCACAGAACTGCTGCAACCTTGTTTGTTGAAAAACTGTCATTTTTTCAATAAGAAGTTTTGAAATATATTATAAATAACGTTGAGGTCTCCGGGCCGGCGCACCGCCGGCGCCCACTATACTGTGCTTTGGCTGATAATGATCGATCCCTCGTTGGCGCTGCCGCCACGGAGTTCACGACGAATAGGTAGGAAAAAAAAGGAGGGGAGAAAAAAAATGTGGAGTAGGTCCCTGTGTCGCAGCGTCACTCCTCTCCTCTCGCGGTCGCGGCCGCTCCCCGACTGAGCTCCCCAGTTATTGCCCGCCGTCCTGTTTGTGCGTGCCCGTCCCCCCGGGCTCAGTGCCGCCGTGGTCGCGGCTGGAGCCCTCAACGGGTCTTATCGGCGGCGGCCGATAAGACGGTCATTGTGGGGCAGGTTCGTGTGCGCACTGCGTGGGGGCACATTCTTCCATATTTTCCTTCCGTTTTTGCGAGAGGATAACTTTTAAAGAGGAAAAATATCTGCAACATTGCCTTTCCATACAACAACCAATAATTTTGCCATTGCACTAACCGACGAACAGATCATCTGTTCCATCATCCATGTGACATGGATTTATCCATTTTTTGCACGAATGTGCCCCACTCTCCCCTACCCCATTCTCCTCGAAGGAGAGTGGGTTTGTTGTCCGCCGTTAATGTTAACGTCAATGATTGTTAATGTTTTGTTCAAACAGCATTTGGCATTAGTGAGTCACGCTATGACAGCTTCTACAAGAGCAAGACAGAAATAATTGGCAGTATTGTGGCTACCTGTATTACAGCTTACAGTTACAACTGCGCACATTTGCTTCAGTCCATAACATAACCCCCTTATTTTGACCCGCTATTCCAACCCCAAACCACAGACCTGGTCACGTTCGGTCTTTCATTATGAGCCGCGCTCGAGCACGACATTTTTCTGACATTGTCAACACTCCCAGGCCACGGCTGTGATTGTCATCAGCGGGACGTTTTGCGACCGCACCGTCCCCGTATATCATCTGTCACGACTGATAAAAGTGGCTGATAGCACGTCTGAGCCGAATCCATGGCCGCATCTAATGCGATTTTGCATGTTCATCCGACCCGCTATAAGCATTGAGCATGTGTGTTCATTTGGATGGCTGGCAACATCAAATGAATGAGCAGAATAACTTGCCCAGCTAACGTTTTCGCTATTTCAGCTAAGATGTGGGCAGATATTCGCCGGCTCCAAGTTGCCGGCAGATATTCGCCGGCTCCAAGTTGCCGAAGTAGCTAGTGACGTAAAATACCGTTGTAATGTTTGCAGTATAACGTTACCTGCCTGCTGACTTCAGTACAGCAGTGCTGTAAGAGTTCACTAGTGTAGAGGCCGCGGTCCATCAATCATCAATGCATAAGCCATGATAGTACGGTAGATCGGCCCCCACTCAACAGATCTGGCAGCAGAAAGCGACAAATATATGGCTCGAATTTGCAATACCTTATACAATATTTATGCGTTTGTATATGAAATCTACAAGATAAAAAAATGAAAACTCGAGATGGCAGTCCGGATGCCCGATTTATTGTACCAATATCATTTCATTTTTTAAATTTAGTCCGAACCTTTTTGATGGTGAGGAATCACAAGTGTAGACTGTGGTTGAGTCTAGGTCCGAAAGCCGATATTTAAAATCACATGTTTGCTATATTAGGCAAAACAAACCAAAAACAGGCACAAGTCCGGCCGGCCCCTGCTCCGCCGACTCTCTCCTCTGAGCGTCTGGTCAGCTGTCGCTGCCCAAGCGGGGAGCGGGGTGGCGTTGCCCTAGCAACAGTTGCTAGGAGACGGCCGACGGCCTCCTCCCGCGGACGGATGCGGGCGGCGAAACTCAGCCGTCTATATCCGACGCACCATAAAAAACGACACACTGGTACGCGAAACAAGACACGAAAGCGAGCGCTCACCTAATTAAACACAACACATCGCGGAAGCGCATGTCCCTGGTCCCACGCATAAAACACATACACGCAAACACGCAAACACCACATACACTGGTACTCCCGCACTTCACTGTCCAGTGCACCGGGGCAACCATCCGATGTGTCACTGTGTCCGTCTCACCGCGGCCAGCCTGTCCTGGGCGTGCAGATCAGACGGCGGCAGGCGCGCCCGGAACGCCAGTCCCAGGCGAAGAGCGGTGACGGCATGGCGAGCCGCGTCCTTGCTGGCGGCCACGCAATCCGCAGGCCAGGCTATGGCTCGCGGAGCCACAGCTGAACAGTAGCCGGAGCACCGTGATATCCGGAACATCACTACAGGAGTAACTCGCAACGGTGGGCACTAGTTCGGGCGCAAAAGAACACAACGGTGAACACAGTACCCACCATAAAGCGTGTAGATACCCTACGACAACAGAAACAGAGGTTTGCCTGGTGCAGGTGCTCTCCTTTATCAAATTATCTCTTCTAACCGGCCTGAGAGGACAGGGCAGTGGTGGCTAACGGAAGAAGGATAAGTGCGTTCTCAGAAGTCGCAAATCGGCAAGTCAATGGTGCTTTGCATTATCCCCGCTCACAGGGAACCAAGCGATGTCGTCGTGGCCACTCGGACAACACATGGGTGCTACGCCAATACCAAACTCGACAACTTCCTTCTGTTTCTGCACAGTCCCAATAAGCCTAACAGCACACCAACTACGATTTCACAGACCAACTTACAACTCAGTCACAACACAGAACAATTACATATCTCACAATCAACAATCTCTTAATCTAGCACATCACCCGGGAACAAAACGATCGACAGGCTTGGGAATCCGGGAGCTGTGGCGTGGCGCCGGCACCGGCGCTGAACCAGCGTTGCTGGCGGCCACCGGCTCTACGGCCTCGGTGACGTCTGCGACACCAATCGCCAACCCAGCAGCGACATCGGAAGGAACCGTCACAGCGGAGTCATCACCTGCAACTGCAATGCCTGTCGACAAGTCATCAGTGACGTCCGTCACGCCAGCAGGCTCATCAGCGTCTGAAATGCCAAGAGGAGCCGGTGGGACATAATCATCTCCTGTGGGCCACACAGTCTGTGGGTGAGACGGACCAGCTGGCCCGGCGGCCAGAGGAGAACCTGCAGTCCTCCCATCCGGCTGGAGGGCGTCTGTGGAATCAATCGCCTCTCCGGCCGCCACGTTCGGGTTAGCAGTCTCTGAAAAGGTAAGGTCACTATCTGGGACCGGAATCACTGAGCCGTCGGGTCTGGGCTTCAACCTGTTATGATGCACAACAACCGATTTTCTGCCACCCAGCAAACGAACTCTGTAATTCAAATCCGACAGCTTTGCGGTCACAATAGCTGCCTTCCACGGCCTGACGAACTTGTAGTATTCACCGCGTGGTACTACAGCTTTGAACAAATAAACAGGGTCACCAACCTCGAACTGATGCTGTGTCAGCTTCTTCTCGTAAAGTCTCTTGTTGCGCTGATGTCTGC